AGTCACATATCTAACCTCCAAAGTTGGCAAGACCCACAGGGAGAAATCAAAGCAAACGGGCTATTTTGGAAGGCAACGTTACTTTTAAGTAGTTTCTCGGTAGCAAAGCAACACTGGGCACTCCAAGACTAAACACTCAGCATAAAAATCAGCCAACTTCAGCATCAGGAAATGGTGAATTCTATACATTAAACAAATTGGTCCATCTTGATTTCTTTATTTTGCTTCTGTTGATCAAAGGGTGGAAATGGTTATGACTGCTGCTGGTGACCATTCATTAAATCTTCCATTCAAAAACAACAAGAAGTTATTTTTGTTTTGCATTGTACAGGAGAAAAAGTAGTGTGAGAGAAAAGCAAAGAGGACAGACCTGATTTATCTTTGGGAAGGGAAGGAGAGAGAAAATGAAGGCCAGTCAGGAACAGATTATGAGGGTGAACAGAGGTATGTCAAGAAGATGCTTGAGAGCAATCCCAGAGGAAGAGAAGCCAGACATATTGTATGTGGAATAGGGAGAAGCAGAGGAAAACAGACACGGGTAGGGAATTCCATATAGAAAAGATATTCATATTGTCTGGCAACTGCAAACCCAGTCCAGACATTCCTGTCAACCCCCTTCCAATCCCAGCTTTTCTGGGATTATTCTTGTTTTCTGCACCCTTAGGAATAAGAGGCTTACAATCTAGTTTAAAACAATCTCAGACTCTCTTCTAGTTTCTTCAGCTACTCTAGGCCTGTTGCACTTCTGGGGTCTTTCTGGGGGGGTCTTCCTTCCAATTTTTATCCTCTACCTAGCGCGATGACCAAAGGGCTTTATAAAAGAAATGGAAGCAGCAGGCCTGACAGTGAAAACAGAAGTGAGGGAAGTTAGTTATTTTGGACTGCAACTCCCATCTCTATAGTAGCCATGCTGGCTAAGTGATTCTGGGAATTACAGTCCAAAAAGGTGATTTATACATGCTCTGAATAAAATACAACAATTACTAAATATTAACATAAAGATGAAACTGTAAAATACAACTATTTGGAAAAGGAAGCAAATCCTGCATGTAGATCCCAATACAAGCCTGTGATAGCAGCAATGTTGGGTCTATGTACTAGATCATGGGACTTAACTGTTGCTTCTTCTATAAAATGTGTTTACTATTTAAAAATACAGTATCTTCATAATCTTAATATGTTCTTAATGCCAGTTCTTGAACTCGTACAGTGCAGTTGATGGAATTATGTAGCACAGTAATTGTAACTCACCGAACTGTATTCTAGCTAAGACTATGGAGCGGAAAAACAGACCTTACAGGCAGCCCATGATCAGGAGTTCCTTAACTGCTGAAAATATGAGTACACAGCAAGAGGTTTCACTTTGTTTTGTGACTGGTGTTTGGAACTTTAGCACAGGTTCCTCTGAAGTCTGATTTTTCAAACACAGAAGACTGCCTCAGTCCAGTCTAACCCATGCTAACATACCTTTAGGTAAAGGTAAAGGTTCCCCTTGACGTTCAGTCCCGTCATGTCCGACTCTAGGAGGTGGTGCTCATCCCCGTCTCCAAGCCAAAGAGCCAGTGTTTGTCCAAAGAGTTTCCGTGGTCACTTGGCCAGTGCGACTAGACACAGAACGCTGTTATCTTCTCAGCGAGGTGGTACCTATTTATCTACTTGCATTTTTACATGCTTTAGAACTGCTAGGTTGGCAGGGGCTGGGACAAGCGAGGGAAGCTAACTCCATCGCGTGGATTCGATCTTACGACAGCTAGTTTTCTGACCGTGCAGCACAGAAGCTGCTGCGGTTTAACCTGCAGCACCACTACATCTGCCACACACTCTATGCTAAACGTGTGTTAAAATTTCATTTTAATTGTTTTTGGTTAAATTTGCCTGTGTATATGTGTTTAATTTTGATTCTATAATTATGTTTTTTAAAACTGTTGTTTGATGTTATAGCTGTTTAACATGTAAACTGCCCAGAGTGGCCAGCTGGGTGGTATCAAAGTCAAACAAACAAGAATAAGAATAAACTGAAGACCTGGCTCTTCAGGCAGGCCTTCCGTCCTGACATTAAATTTCTTCCCCTAGTTTTTCCATCTTGGATTATGTTTGCTTGTTTTATTGATGGTTTTAAATTTTATTGCTTTTTTGGATTGTAAACCACCCAGAGTAGATTTATCCAGATGGGCGGTACAAAAGCCAAAGAAATAAAGAAATAAAATAAACATGCACGAGCTATCTATTGTATCTGCTTCTGACCTATGTATCAGTTCAAGACAGTACTGTCCACTTGGATTAACAATAGATCTTTTGGGTTGGCAGCAGAATTGATCCAAGCACCTCCTTCCTGATCTACCTGGAGATGCCAAGGATTTGACGTAGAGCCTTTGTCAAACATGCAACCTGTCAATGAAATATGCATATGTTGTGAGGTAACTTCCAGTTTCTGGAGACACCATGTATGAATGAGATCTAAAAGGTCCTGTACTAACCACCCTGCGCAAATTTTGCAGACTTGAACTGGAAGTCTGTGCAGATTTGGACTGAACTAGACTTTTTTCCTAAAATGAGTAACAGGTACAGAGGAACAGATTTTTTTTTTCAGGGAAGAAATCAGGTGTTTCCAAAAAAAAGTGAGAATCATGATCAAATCCAAGGAAGTTTTTCATAACAGGAAACATTTTAAAAGTAGGATTAAATTTAATACTTGGTTTATTTTTTTTAATAACTCATGAGCCACATTGGGTCCCTTAATTAGGAGAAAGGCAGCATTCACATGAACATAAATAAAAAGAAATCAGTTTTTATGGAGAAGCTCATAAGAAAGTAATTGAAGCTTGAAAACACTGGGAAAGGGGGAACATACAGTAGGCAGAAATCAACCTCTAAAGTAGTGGTCCCAAACCTTTTTGGCACCGCAGACCAGTTTAGCATGCGTGCAAGGGGTGTCTGTGCATGCCTGGGGGCTGGAGTGTGTGCGTGCATGGGGAGGCACTGTGTGCTTTCATGGGTGGGTGTGCATCCATGCATGTCTGTGGGGCATGCATGTGGGGGGGATGTGAGTGTCTGCGTGGGGGAATCTGTCTCCATGGCCCAGTCCTGCCAAGGCCACGGCTTGGTACAGGGCTGCGGACCGGGGGTTGGGGACTCCTGCTTTAGAGCACAGAATAGCACTTCTTGTAGCATCCAACCTCTGACCAGAACACTTAACTTAACTTAAAGGGATGCCAAAGTATCTCCACTTGGAGAGGCCATACTTCCCTGACCACTTGTATGATTGGGCGAGTTTCCCTTGAGATTGATGGTTTGCATAATCATTCTACAAATGTTGTAGAACCGGCTGTCCATGGAGACTCTTTGCTGTATCTATGTGTGAGTCTCTGATAGTGGGGTGGCTTCGTATGAATCAAAGACCCACGGTCAAAATATGGAGAGGGGAGAGATAAAGGCCTTTGTTTATCTGAAGGCTGGCAATTCCTAGTCTTATCTGTCTCTAAAAGTAAACTTTCTGTAAGACTGAACAGCGACTCCAGTTTTAATTGGTCTGTCTTTCAGTATGCTCATCCAGCATGTGGGCTTTGTATGTGAGTGTTAACGTTTAGCAGCAGAGAATATGAGAAGGATGTGTGAACTGCAGCCTTCCCTCTTTGCTGTTTCACCATTCTGAATTGCCCTTCCTGAATGCCTTTTTCTGCTGCCTTGAACCTGCAAATGCATGTTCAGAACTCTGCAGTGTTGAGGAAGCCTTCAAGTGGCAAGGAAGGGAAAGAATTAAGCACCTTGTTGCTTTAGGCATTTCTCTTCTTTAAATTGCCTCCTCCCAGAGTGACTTTCTTCCCCACTCTCACTTTCATTTTTCAAGTCTTTTCATGCTTTGCTGCACACTTGCATAGAATGTTGAGATACACCGTGATGAAAACAGCTTTTTTGGCTGGGGCAGGAAAGGTAGTTTTCAGTTACTGCAAGAGTACCCCCCCCTCTCTGGGATTTTTCCTAGTCTTGTCATAGGGCAAACCTTTTAAGACTGACATTATGTGTCTGGCTGATGTCTTTACCAGGTAACCGCTATTCAAAGCATTAAAAGCTTCCATGTTGTCCAGGGTCTATCTGTTTATATACTACATTCCTCCTTTAGTTCTAGCTGATCTAGAAAAACAGAAAAGGAACGAGTATTTCTGGTGGAATTAAAGAGTTCCAAGATCATGAAAGCTGAGATGTGGGAGAAAATTGAAAGGGGGCAGGAGGTGTTGGTGGAGATTGCTTGGTTTTTAAAACAGATTAACTCATTGAAATGTGCCCATTTGTTTGAAAGTGCGATATCACTTGTAGTTGCTGGCTGTCCAGGCCTCTAATTATAGTTTTGTCATTAGAGTAGTCTGAAATTAACGGAAAACAGTCTAAGGGACAGATATTTAGGGCAGTCCTTCCTCAGCAGCATGGCATGGGCAGAACCCTTCTTCAGAGGGTGGAGGGACAAAATATGGGCAGGCCAAAGGGTCCTCTGGCCATAGATACACTCAGATTGGGGGAAGGAGCCACAATGTACCAAATTGTGAGGGTTAAATAATGCAATACAGTTAGCATGTTATTAGAAGTGGAGCTCCCTTAAGTACTAAAAGATGCGTGCTTAGCTAAGATGAGGTTTCCTCTGTTCTGCACAATGCAAATTCATTTTTTTTTGTATTGACCATCAGGAGGCAAACCCTTGATATGCAAATGTGACTGTCACTGGCAAGAAATTCCTCTCCAAAGGAATAACATGTTATCACATTCTAACATCTCATGTAGTTTCACTCTGACAGCTGTATAACTTTGAAGACTTCAGTGTGCAAGATCTATTTCAACCTGAATGAAGCCAGGTATTGCGGATAGTCAATAATAAAATGAAGTCTGTTGAAACTCACTGCCAATGAAATCTGTATGTTTGTGTGTGTGTGTAAGGCCAACAGCCTCAAATGCTGACAAAGTTTGTGTGTGTGTGTGTGTGTGTGTGTGTGTGTGTGTAAGGCCAACAGCCGCAAATACTGACAAATGTTTAACTCTTGCCAAAATATGTTTCTGAAGTATATAAATCCCAAAAGGTTTCATATAGATGGTTAATTCTCGCCCTTCTCCCCCCTTTTATTATTATTTTTCATGTTCACAATATACTTCAGTTCCTCTCCCTAATTTTCCAGAAGATTTGGAGCAACATTGGTCTGAAACCACATGAAACTGAAGATCACACCCATGGTTTTAGGGAAGGATTCGTTATATGCAAAGTCCATGGAATCCTTAAGAGGTATTTCAACAACTTCAATCAGCTCGCCTTCTTCTGGCTGACCACCTCCTTCACTGGCTTTCATTTCATCCGTCACTTCAGCATAAAATAACGTCTGCTTTGAGCCTGTCACACCAACTCCAGATCTTCACAGATGTAAAACAAAGAAAGAAGAAGAAGAAAGATCAATATATAAATATAGATGCACAGTGAATATATATAGAATTTTGATGTAGACTGACTCTATGCATTCATCAGATCAGTACAAAACATTTAATAAAGGATACTACATATCTGTAGACTAAAAATTAACACTGACAAACCTAAATTTCTAGCATAGGTAAATAAAATTTAAAATTCTGCATAAATTTATTATCAAATCACCATATTATTTATTTATTTGATTTATACCCCGCCTATCTGGGCTACCAGTCCACTCTAGGCGGCTATGAAGTTGACAAGGTAGAGACTTCTTTAGAATTTCCCCTATCCTGACATTATTGAAGATATATAATCTGGAGTCTGCTATTAGATCACTAATATTGTGTTTTATTCTTATGGCTAAAAGCAAATGGAGCACCATCTATGTCCTCTGCATACATATACAGTCACGTGAAAAAGTACACTCTCTTTGAATTCTATGGTTTTACATATCAGGACATAATAGAAATCATCTGGTTCTTAGTAGGTCTGAAAATTAGGTGGCTACAACCTTAGATGAACAACACATGACATTATTATGTCATCTCATTATTTAATTTACAAAAATAAAGCCAAAAATGGAGACGCCATGTGTGAAAAACTAAGTACACATTTAAAATAAAAATAGTTAAAAAGAGAGACAAAAACATGGTGGCACTTCAAACATGAACTTTTATATTTTTTTTAATGTGAGCTTTCATGGACAAGTCCACTTCATCTGACATAAAACGTACGTACATCTTATGATTACATAGATTTTAGAACCACTTTCAGCAGCAATAACCTTTCTGTATGACTTTATCAGTCTCCCACATCATTGTGGAGGAATTTTGGCCCAATCTTCTTTACAGTGTTGCTTCAGTTCATTGAGGTTTACGGGCATTTGTTCATACACATCTCTCTTAAGGTCCTGCCACAGCATTTCAATCAGATTGAGGTCTGGCCTTTGACTAGGCCATTGCAACATTGTGATTCTTTCATTTTGATTCTTTCATTTTCTGTTGCAGATTTGCTGGCACACTTGGGATCACTGTTCTGTTGCATGACCCACTTTCAGTCAAGCCTTACCTATTGAGATTGAGGTCTGGCCTTTGACTAGGCCATTTCAGCATTGTGATTCTTTCATTTTCAGCCATTCTGTTGCAGATTTGCTGGTACACTTGGGATCATTGTTCTGTTGCATGACCCACTTTCGGTCAAGCCTTACCTATTGGACAGATGGCCTCACATTTGACTTTAAAATAATTTGGTATACAGAAGAGTTTCTGGTCGGCTCAATGACTGTAAGGTGCCCAGGGCCTGTGGCTGCAAAACAAGCCCAAATCATCACCCCTCCACCACCGTACTTGACAGTTGGCATGAGGTGTTTGTGCTGATATGCTGTGTTTGGTTTTCACCAAAGGTGTCACAGTGAATTATGGTCAAACAGCTTCACTTTGATCTTCTCTGTCCAAAGGACATTGTTCCAAAAGTTTTTTGGTTTGTCCAGATGTTACTTGGCAAATCTAAGCTGTACTGCCATGTTCTTTTTAAAGAGAAGAGGCATTTTCCTGGCAACCCTCCCAAACCAACCATACTCGTTTGGTGTTATTCTAATTGTATTGTCATGAACTTTAACATTTAACATGCTAACTGAGACCTGTAGAGCCTGAGATATAACTCTTGGGTTTTTTGCAATTTCTCTGAGCATTGCATGGTCTGACCTTGGGGTTGATTTGCTTGATGTCCACTCCTGGGAACACTGGCAACAGTCTTGAATGTTTTCCACTTGTGAATAATCTTCCTTACTGTAGAATGATGGAATTTAAATTGTTTGGAAATGGCCTTATAACCCTTCCCAGATAGATGAGAACTGATGTTTCTCTGTGATCATTACTGATATATTTCCTCCTTGGCATTGCGTAAACACACACTTCAATGCTCCAGACCAAATTTTCAGAAATAAAAAAATTCAGATTTCTCCCCTGAAGGTCTTGTGGCTCCAATGGAATCCCTGTTGTCATGGGGAAGGTGTTGGGGGTCACAGGATCATTGTCATAATTTGAGAACTGCAGAACTTGAAGGGACCCTATGGATCATTGAGGCTCCCTTATCAAGGGGGCACAGTGGGAAACTTAACTCCCAACCTCTGGATCTGCAGCCAGAGGCCTAAACCACTGAGCTATCCAGCAGGATGGGGTGATGGTTAGTCTTTCAAAAACTGCTGCTGGTTGTCAAGTAACCCCATTGACAGTGATTTTCAGAAATTAAAAAAGATTTCTCCCCATTCCATCTACGCACAATGACTTCCACACGACAAAAGGGATTCTATAGGAGCTTTGAGACATTCAGATGGGGAGTACAGTGGTGCCTCGCTTAACGGCAATAATCCATTCCAGGAAAATCGCCGTTAAGCGAAAACAGAAAGCGAAAACATAAAGCCCATTGAAACGCATTGAAAACCTTTCAATGCGTTCCAATGGGCTTAAAACTCACCTTCCAGTGACGATCCTCCAGACATCCGTCCCTAAACACAGCAGGGAGCCATTTTAGTTACCCGGCAGCCATTTTGAAACCGTCAATCAGCTGTTTAAAAATCATCGTTTTGCAAAGAATTGGTTCCCGAAGCAGGGAACCGATCATCGCAAAGTGAAATTCCCCCATTTAGACCATCATTTTGCGATCACAATTGCAAACACAATAAGATCGTCGTAAAGCAGATTCGTCGTAATGCAGGGCAATCATAAAGTGAGGCACCACTGTATTGGGGATTTTTTATTTCTAAAAAGCTGTAGTGGCTGATGATGCCATCAATGTTACATGGCATAGCCACGTGAACAGGATTCAGCCAATGCCTTACTTTCTTGTTTCCCAAAAATGATGACATTAAGATGTTAATAAAACCTTCGAATACTACAGGTTGCCAGATTTCTCTCCCTCCCCTGTAATACTAGGTCAGCCAACAATATTAATTGACCAAAGATTCAGGACAGATAAGAGGAAGTAATTCTTCATACAATACATAATTAAATATATCGAATTTGCTGCCATAAGATGTGATGCTTGCCATTAGCTTAGAGGGCTTTAAGAGAGGATTAGACAAATTCATGTAGGGAGAGAGCTCTATTAAAGATTGTTAGTCATGCTGGCCTTATGATTAATGAAATCTGAACTCTCCAGAGTCAGAATTTGAGGAAGCTCTCCTTTGGTCTGCATTTTTCAGTCAACCTCCCGGACTTCTCCAAGTTTTAAAATATAGTTCTCATTTCATAAACTGCATACAATGTGGATATACTGAGGGAAATTGTCTATAAAATGAGTATATTTATGAATGTTTTACACAACTAAATGCCAATGAAGGTGCAGGATGATGCAGAAATTCAATGGAACAGAGTTATCATTAGTGTTTAAAATATTTCTATCCCGTGAAATGAGAGAAAAACAGAGTTGTCTTTTCCTAACAGTGTTATGCCACTGAACGGACTTGACTGTAGAGCAGTAACAAGCCAGGACTCCTACTTTTCCAGCCATTTGTAGGCTTCTCAGAACCATCTGGCTGGATGCTGTAAGAAGCAGGATGCTGAATTTGGTGGATCTTTAACCTGATCCAAGAAGGCCTTAGTTAGGTTACTGTTCATACAATGCAGCGGTTGGAAAATTACTTTACCCAGGATTCTCCACTGGCCAAAACTGGCAGCAGATCAAGAGGGCTGGCTTTTCCTTGTTCTCCTCCTGCCAGCAAGCACTCTTCCAGTCAGATAGGGCCTGTTGGGAAAGGGGATTTTGTCAGGAGTGAGTGCTGGACTTTGGCTTCTCCCCATGTGCTTAAGAAGTTATTATTAAATTGTTTTTAAATGTGGTTGTTCTAACATAATAAACTATTTAATTCTATTTTTAATATCATAATTTATATTTATCCGGTATCCTGGGTCACAACAACCAAGATGATCGTCCAACAGTCTAACTTGTTACAGGGGTGGTTGGGACATCGAACTGGACATTACTGTTAACCTACTAAATTCAATTAAGTTAGGACATTAGCCAACGTAAGTGGCAATGTATTTTTAAAATGAAAATGCATGACTTAAGTCTGTTTTTTGCATGAAGGTTTCTTCAGTAATAACTTAGATAAAGTGATAGTCAAGGAAGGGGAGGTGTAGGAAAGGCTGTTGTCAAGACAACAAAAATGGAAGCAAATGAATGGTGCAGTCCACAATAAAAAGCAGCTAGCTAGTTATATGAATAAAGAAATATCCTCCTGTTGCTCCCAGGGAGTCCTGCATGAAAAGAGTTAGCGGTGGAATGTTGCCAAACCAGTTTATGTGGGTAGAAGGGGGGGGGGAGACCAATTATTTCTGATGTGAGTGCAGATAAGTTTTGTCTCTGCTGAAGATGCTGCAAGTGAGGAAGTGAGGTGTGGTGACAGGTTAAAGGATGAAAGGCTGTTTTTTAGAAACTGAAATTCATTAATCAATGAGAAAAAATTGTGTGCTTATTTGTTTGTTTGGGAAAGAAAGAGTTTGCTGGAGTGGAAGAGAAGAGGGCTTTCAAAAGTTCATGCAGCTGTTTTCTCCACTAAAGCTTAAAACAAGAGAAGGAAAGTAAAATCCACAGATGAGACTTTTCATCTTCATTCTGGACTGATAAGATTTTAATGTAGTAATGTAGATGCAACTATCATCAGCATCCATATAAAAACCATCCCTTTTTCAATGTAAAACTAATGTAATTAGTTCTAAAAGCTCATGAACCAATAACTTAGCATTCCACAATGTTTCACTAATTTCACAATCTCTCCATCTAATCCAATGTCTGACAAAGGAGGAATCCACAGCTAAAGTGTCCTGAGAGATAGCTACCTGATCTCCATCTTAAAAAACCTCCAGCAAAGAATCCATTGCTTTCTAAGATAGCCTTTTCTGTCAAACAGCTTCAGGAAGTTCTTTCACATGTTTAGTCAGAACTT